CGCTTCTTTTTCGCTGTCCTGCGTCCAGATCACATTTTTCTTCCTTTGTTTACTCTGCATTGTCTTTTGCTCCTGAGGAGTATGCGCGCTTTCGCATTTGTAAGAGACACACATGACATTCTACAACCACTCGCGCCATGTTAGTGTAGTGGCGTACGCTGGCAAATGGGTCCCACTTCACTGGTTTGGGAGTTTGTTGAATCGGAGGACCAGGTTGAATCTTTATAGATTTCTGAAGAATGTCGCCACGTAACGTGAGTAATGGTCTCAAACTGTTCCCAGAAGTTGAGATTGAGGCTAATTAGTGTTCTTGTAGGCACCGAATAAAACAAGCAGGCATATATAACAATTTATAAAGATTTAAGTATGAACGCCCGCACAGACAAATTTTTGTTACAAAACATGTAAAATCACTTTTTAAATTTTCTGGTATGCTCATATACATTAAAGTGGTGCGACAAGAGCGCAAAAAACTAGAAAGTGGCCTAAAATTTGGACTCTGGTTCTGACAGACATGAAGCCTAAATATTTTTGAACGTCAATGACATCACTCGATCAATTCTTCCCTATTACTGTGGCCTTAAGGATACCATCTTGCTTGAGCGCAACCGAACTCGTTTACTCCAAACTTTCATTTTTGCAAGCATTAAAGACACACACATGGTACGCTACAGCTTTCCTTTTCTATTTGGCATGTTTGTATTGCGGATGGCTTGCATCCGATACTTGTAATACATGGTACGCCGTGGAGGTGTAGCGATTACGGTGCTAGGCTGATGATCCAAAAGCCGCAGGTTCCATTCCGGCTGCTACGGCCACATTTTGATGTCAGCCAAATGGTAAAGGTCCGTGTGCTGTGTGATGTGAGTGCACGTTGAAGAATACCAAATGTTCGAAATTTGCGGAGCACTTATTTACGGCCTTCCTCACAGTCATATCATGGTCTGCGGACGTTAAATACCAAATAATATATGAATATTCATAATATTACCAAAATCATACAAATCTAAATACTCCGAGGTCGTCGCTTATTCGTCTAATATTAAAAAAGGACAATAAACAGGAAGACTTTGTTAATCTGGCAAGACAGCCCTGGCATCATAGTGTCACTTGTACGTATCATTCTCTGTGTTTAGAATTATTTGCATTGGTCAACATCATCTCAAAGCCGCGCTTCATCTACGGTTTCTACTCAAAGTGCTGGGGCTGTCGTCATGATTAGTAACATGTATATTGCGTATTTGCACGCAATTAACTGAGGTGTGGGTGTGAGGGTCCTACATCTGTGATGTAAACAAGAAATGTCACCCTAGCCTATTGAGTTTTGCAGTGTTTTTGACTGAACTTCAATGACTTTATGACAATTGATTGCTTGACAGCTAGTTTAAAAACTAGTATTAAACGGTCTTATTTCACAGGTGCTTATATTTTCATATAAACCAAAGTAGTGGCGTTATGATCGCTACTAAGTAATAACTTTACTTGTTTATGATTTATTTAATAAATGCCACAATTCATGTATTTAGTCATGTTGAGGCGTTTGTCGTCACGAAGAAAGTGATTATAAAGACAGCGAACAAATATCTGCATTTTCTTTTTTTTTCATTTTCGGAAAGATTTTTTGAATTAAGCACATTAAACAAAATGAAAGCTCCTGGACAACTCAAATAAGAATGCCTTTAATAATAATAATAATAATAATAATAATAATAATAATAATAATAATAATAATAATAATAATAATAATAATAATAATAATAATAATAATAATAATAATAATAATAATAATAATAATAATAATAATTAATAATATTAATAATAATAATAATAATAATAATAATAATAATAATAATAATAATAATAATAATAATATGTGTGCGGGTTTGTGACTCGCTACCAATATATGATTTTGAAGGATGCCGTGGTGCAAGGCTTCGGAAATTTTGACTATTTGGCGTTCTTTAACGCGCACTTATATAGAAGTAAATGAGCATCTGGCCTTTCGCCTCCATCGAAATGCAGCATCCACTGCCGGAATTCAATTTAGGGATGTCCAAATCACCTGTCGAGCCTCACAACAGCTATAGATCATTTCGGCAGGTATAAAAGCGACTATCAGCTATTTTTGTCACTGTTCTGAAGAAGTGTGTACATATTGACGGATACAGTGAATGCTTTGTTTGGAAAGTTTCAACTAGTGTTGGCAGTAAATACAATGAGACTGTACCTTCTCATGCATACGTGACTGAATGGGCCGAACAAAGGCCGAAAAGGAGCCTTAGCGAGTAGCCAGTGAATTCGTCACTGCGAGAGAATATAACTAGCGTTGATGTTAAATTAAGGCAAATTGTTATGGTCTAACATCTTTGAAGCCGGGACACCCTTGTTTGTGATTAAGATTAAAGTACTGAGTTCTAAAATATGTTTCTGCTCTTGGGCATTTCATCATTAAAGAACTAGGTTTCATTGTGCTTTCGAACCAATGAATAATAGATTGTTCGAAAAATAGAAGTGGTTCTTCAAAGAAAATTTTTAGTTACAGAGCAATCATCTCCTTCTTTCATCGAATTCATCAATGCAGACTCCTTTCATTGTCGCATTCGCTCACAAATACTGAGTGTAAGTAGAAATTACTGAGTGCAACGGGAACTATAAAAAGAAGCTTTGAATAAAAATTGGCCCGTATCTGCATGTTTCTGCAAATGTCGTCGAAAGACGATAGTCTTGCGTGTGGAGAGAGTGAAAAAGACATTTATTTGATGTTCTGCGCAAGAAAATCGGTGAGTGGTATTTTGGAGGCGCTTTAGAGTGCCTCGAGCGTGCAGCGGAGGTGAACGAGCGCATCAAGTCACGTCATACGTGAGACATCAGCGCCATCTGACAGTTTTCTTAGAAAACAAAGCACATGGCTCTGAGACGAGTGTGCGCGCCTATCTCTGAGGTGATAATGTGTAGAACGCAAGGCGAAGGGTAAGTGCCAGCGCCGTCTTGTCTTAGCAAAGCGTTGGAGACACTCCCCATTCCGTGCAAGCGTTGCATGGTCAGTGCAGCGTGATAAGCGCTACGGTCCTTAAAACTACCTTTGTATGCCATTTCCAGTAAAAGACGTACATGCAGAATATATACGTGTCCTTATGGTGCCCCAGACAGGCGCAATAGTTGTTTTTTAATTGACAATGGCACATGCATGAACGCTCAGCCTTGAGCAACATTGGTGGGTGCTGCAGATGGGGTCAGCCGTTTTAAGTACCCGATGCCGCTAAGAGTGGACAAACAGACAAATGTACAGACAGACAGACAGACAGACAGACAGACAGACAGACAGACAGACAGACAGACAGACAGACAGACAGACAGACAGACAGACAGACCAAAATTTTTGCTTCGAAGGTCCTCAAGAAAGATTATCGTCTTTATAAACAACTGCAGAATCCTGCACCTGTTTGCATCAAACTCAGTCAGCTACATTATACCAGCACTACATCAATGATTGCGACCAAAACAAAGAACGTGGCCGCATCCACACTTTTTCGTTTGTATCATGACTGATTTGATTGATATGTGAGGTTTAACGTCCCATCATGACTGATTTGCTTTCGTGCTTTCATTCCTCAATCAGTTTTTCTGGGGGCGAGTTGATATTTTTTGATGAACTTGATGCCATAAGGAAATCTCCCGTAAAAAAAGTTGTAAGAAGACAATTTTTATTAGTTACTTTTACTTTTAGTATCTCTTTTTGAGCTCAATGCTACACAGTATCAAGTCTTTCTTTTGCTTCAATACGATATACTTGATATACATGACAGCTAAAATGAAAATACTGGGCACTGATTTAGGAATAAGAAAAGATTGGAAACAGCAAGACATAAAAAGAGCTAAAAAAAGCTGAAGCAGTTTTGAAGGCCTTTAATAGACAGCATAACCAAAATAACACTGCCAATAACCATGAATGCTGCACATTTTGCCAAGAAGGACCTCTCGCTTTACAAGTGTAGTGATCGCCATTATACGGTCATGCAACAGGGACGGCATGGCCAAAAGCACGAAGATGGTGTTATTTTTTCGCAAATACTCTTACATCACTGATTCACAGTTATTTAGAGTAAATTTACAAACTAATTGAAGCTCAAACGAACTGTTTCAGTCTATAAGAACTCACTCCAAATTTAACTCCTGAATGTTGAAGGCAAAGGGCAATTTTAGCCCCATCATAAATTTGCGGTGTTTCCGTGAAATTACGCTGGCAAACAATTGTAACAAGCCCAACCATTTGGTCACTAACAAAAACATTGCGTTTTTCTTGGTTTCAGCTAAAGTGCCTTTGACTCATTCAGAAATGAAAAAAAAAACAGCACAATTACTGTCTAGGAGGTCCAACAAATGACCGTACAAGAAAGTAGGTCAGATCCTGATTTTGTTGCCCACCTCCAGACCACAGATTTTGGGACCGGAAGTTCAGAGAAAAAAGGGGAAAGGATTCTGGCGCATAATGTGGGGCGTGCGAACCGAAAAAGTGTGACAAACTTGTTTCACGTACGGGAGCTACCTGTCCTGCAATACAACACTGTCATAGCTAGCAGCGCTTACGAAAAACCTTTCAATATGCACGGAACGTATCGGAAAACTCAGTCAGCATTCATGGAGGCGTTGTTGCACGCGTTCCTTTTATAATCGCTAGCTCAAGTGCGGTTTCTTCACTGTTAGCCAATGCCTGAAGCTTGCTTTATGTTCTTTGTCAAGCTTGAGCGTTATCTCGAGTAATCTGAACTCGTGCTGTCTTCTAAAATCTTCACTTAACTGCATTCCAAAAAGCAAAAAGATATGCTACAACTACGTTGCACGTGCAGCAAAGATATGGCCAGTGTCACTGCGTTCTTTATTGTTTTGTTCTCAACGAGAAAATGTCATCACCGTCAAAGAGCTGCTCTCGCTCAAGTGTAAAAGAGTTCGTTTGGTGCTAGCTTTCAAGAACTTTTGCCGCAGCAGCAGGAGAATCTACCATGAACGCTCTGGTAAGCATGCTTGATATACATGAACATTTAGTTGAATTTTTACAGATTCTAGTTTAATTCATTCCATAACAAGCTTGATGGTATGAAAATAGATAATCCCAGCGTTGTCCTTTTTAATGGAGCTTTAAGGCTGAAATAGAGGAATATGGGAAAATGCAACTAGTTTTCACAGCACTTCTGGCATTAAGCGCCGATTTATTTGTGGCACTCATGCATATATGTGTATTCGGTTTCGCAGACAACTGTCCTGTTTTTCGCTGTCCTGGTTGCGGCAGCATCTGCTGGTGCTGTGCTTGGAGGCTACGATGGCCTTGGATATGGTGGCCTGGGGTACGGAGGCCTCGGCTACGGCGGCCTAGGCTACGGAGGTCTTGGCTACGGTGGTATAGGCTATGGAGGTGTCGGTTACGGTGGAGTGGGTCTTGGCGTGGGTGGTGTTGGTGTTGGAAGCAGCGTCGCTTTGCTCAGCGGAGGGCCAGCCTTCACAAAAGCCGTAGCAGGACCGACTTTTCTAGTGAGAAGCGTGCACCACGTGAACAAGATCCACAACGGGGGTGCTCTCCTAGCTCACAGTGGCCTTGGTGGAAGCTACGGATATGGTGGTCTTGGCTACGGCGGCCTCGGATATGGTGGTCTCGAATACAAGGGATGAATGGACAATGTGGAATAAGTGTGACAGTGTTTGTTACGACTAACTTCGTATGCCAAAACAATGTACAGTCGGGAATGTCTGCCCGTTACACGAAATAAACTATATTGATTTATTTATTGTTGTTTTATTTTTGTTTGCGAAAACATTTTGTGACTGTTATTTCTATTGTGGTTCATACTAAAAATATAATAAAAACGATGAGATAACTGGTGTCTCCACAATGTTCCTACAGCTCTTATGTTCCCTGACACCTAAACAGACTAATTTTTAACCAATAAAAAGAAAATACTGATGGACAAGGTCGTCCTCGCAGAGTCATGATAGTAAGTGAGTTAGATTCTCACACCACACTCAGTCGGCATCGTGTTTAGTGTTTCTATGACGACTTGATACCACAGCCTTCGACTCGCTAATGTGAAGGAGAAATTAAGAAGTAGTGGCTCACTCATTTATTGGTTAGTGATCGTTCTTCGTAGCTATTCATATACTCCAAATGCAATCTATAGTTTTCTGTTCTCATAGGGGCAAAGGGCTTACTCTCAGAAAACGTTGTTTTGAGAAGTTACACTAGATCTGCTACAGTATAAATTGTTATATTTGTATAAAACATGAATTTTTTCTGTAATCAATAAACAATATATATATATATATAATATATATATATATATATATATATATATATATATATATATATATATATATATATATATATATATATATATTGTTGTTTAATGTTTAATATCATATATATTTCTCACACATGCTGCTTGCGTTCTGAATGCTTGGATAATATACTGAAAAGAATCAAATTTCATTGTGTGTGAATGTCTCATATCTGTTGATAAGGTTACTGAATATAATAGGTCATTAGATTTATGAAGACATGAATCATGAATAAACAAATGAGGACATTTACCTGTGCCTTTTCATAATATATCTTCAGAGGGTGAACTACCTTGGGTGTGTAAAATGGCAGGGATACTGGTGGGCATGGATAATAGCATAGCGCGCACCGGTAGAACGTGAGAAATAGAGCACTTAGGGTCGTGTGGACGTATCCTAGGGCCAACAGAACTTAGGTTATATTTCCACACTTCTGGCTGACGCAGCCTCGTTTCTCCATTTTTTTCTCAATGGATAGGTACTGTAAAAGTCAGAAAGTGAAGGTTACTTACATTGTGTGTGATATAGGTGAGTGTATCTACTGCCCGAGTTATACAGCACTCATCATTTCATCGACTACAAAAACAGATAGCTGTTAAAACCACGTAAACTTTTAGCCTGCTTACAATATGTAGTACCGCTGGTGTTGCAGTAATTTCCTTGCATATTATTATACTTCTGCACACTTTACTCTTGATTATATAACCTTTATTAGTCGCTCACGTATCGTTTTATACTTTGCATAACTGATGCAGTTGGAAAACCTGATAATTGCCTTCTGTTGCACATTTAGAATAGTACAATTATCAGACACGTTTAAACGTTCTTACAATTGTTTCTTCGTTGTAGAACTTTCAACGATGTTATTTTTTGTATAACTATAGGCCGTCGACATCGTGTAACGTTCTTTTTATTGCTGCATCGACCCGGTGCCACTTCTTGTTTTTTCTGTTTTTTTAATTAACAAATAAAAATAGGCTAATTAACAGAATAAAATTTAAGTAAATGAATAAAAAATTTCAACAGTATTCATTTCACAGCACAGCAGCACTACGATCACCAAAAGTAGCGTGCGCTTGACAATTGAGTTAAATAATCAAGAATCCATTTTCACAACTAAAGCTGTTATGAGAATAAAACATGGGTCATGCACTGTCGACTTGTCCACCGCCGCTGCCGCCGCCACTGCCGCCACCACCGCCGCCGCCGCCGGTGTCCATAACCACAACGAACGAAGTTATAAGAAAAAAAATCTAGTACCAATGACATAGACGGGAAAGAATCCGAGTCTGCTGGGTGCCAGCCCAGTATTTAACGACTGAAGCACGCCGGCGCTTGGGACGTGTTCGCAAACTTGCTTTAGGCTGGCCTAATGTCGGGGAAACAAACACGTAATATACGACTTATAAAGCATTTTTAAACAGCGAAATAACAACCAGTCGACACGCAATGCGAATAGCGTAACGAGTGGCTCGTCCAATATTCCAACCAATTACAAAAGCTTGTTCTTGTTCACCTATTAACTGTGGCACATAGCCACTTTAAGCACAATTCCTCATCGTCATCAGCCATCCCATGAACAATTGGCACAAAACTCCTTGAAGTGTTTAGCGGATGCCACGCTTCTCAAAGTAAAGACAAAAATAGCATACTCTAAATTTTTAGTATTGGATAAAGTTTTATACAATAAAGTTTTTTAATAATGTCAGAGTGGGTATCAAGTTAGTGTGTTTGCAGCAGTTATCCAAGGGATGCATCAACATTATTTGGTCCTTCGGAACGTGCTTTAGCACGTTGCGGGCCACTCCCACGTCGGAACAGAAAGAAAAAATCTCTGTGCTTCATCGCGGGCCTGATGGACTGCCCATAGCTGTTGTTCAAGTCTGGAGCATGCAATAGCACCCTTCTATTTGGATAGTGTGATGACTGCTCCACAACGTAACGTGGGGCACCGCCAGAGCATATGCTCCAAGGTAGCTATATCATGCAGTACAAACATGTATTAGTCGGCTGTATTCAGGGATAAATTTTGTTTGATATCACGGGATTAGGGCACGCCCCGGGTTGAAGAAGCCTGAGTGTCGGAGCCTGAGGTTTGCTTAGTTTTCTGTGCGATGGAGGGTATTGTCTTCGCGCCATATAAAAATGTTTTGCCAATTCATTATACGAGAAGAGAGGGTCGCGGTTCTCTAAGATATCAGCGCCGCGCTCCCGATAGCTACGCGGTTTACTAGTCCTCGCGCTGCTATGTGGGCTGACTCGTTGAGATTGGGCGGGGCTCCCTCAATGAGTCCCATATGAGCTGGGAACCAAACGAGTGTGTGTCTCTCGATGTCTTTGTCCCGAAGACTTCAAACAGCTAGTTCCGATATTGTTCTCTTAGGAAATTTTCGAACCGACGATCCCGAGTGACTGTATATTGTGGACTTCTTGTTATCCAGTAAGGCCAACGCAACCGCCACTTGCTCTGCTGTTTCAGCCACCGTCGTCCAGACTTGTCGAGTTGGTGATACCACCCTCGTGGTTGATGCTCAATGCCGCATACGCATTCCCCTCGGAATATCGAGCCGCATTGATTAAGGAGCAGTCCCCGGCATGTTATTGAGCCTTTTGTAGTAGAGCCTTTGCTCTAGCCCGTCTTCTGTCCTTGTTATGCTCGGGGTGGACTTTTCATGGGATGGGGACAACGGTATTGATTTCTTCTCGTTGTTTACGAGGAATACTACCGAAGTGAAACTTGATTCACATCGGTGGAATCCCCAGCTTCCGCAGGATGTTTCTACCGGAACGGGTGGTGGACAATCTGGCGAATTGCTCCCTTTCCTGTGCCTCTGCAATTTCTTCCAGCATGTTGTGCATGCCGAGACGGAACAGTCTATCCGTGCTTGTGTACGTGGGAAGCCCGAGATCTCTCTTGATGGCCTTTCTGATTAACATGTAGAGCCTAGCACGCTCCGACCTCTGCCAGTTGTGCATGGCTGCAACGTAGGTGAAATGGCACATCAGAAAGGCGTGCACCAACCTTACGAGGTTATCTTCTTTAAGTCCCTGTTGGCTGTTGGCAAACCCTCTTATTAAGCTGATGGCATTGTCAGTTTTTCTGGCGAAACTCGTGACCATCACGTTATAGGAGCTGTTCGACTGAATGGTCACTCCTAGAGCCCGGAGAAATCCACCCTGGAGATCAAGCTGCCCTCACCTGTCCTAATCAATTGATTGATATGTGGGGCTTAACGTCCCAAAACCACCATATGATTATAAGAGACGCCGTTGTGGAGGGATCCGGATATTTCGACCACCTGGGGTTCTTTGAAGTGCACCCAAATCTGAGCACACGGGCCTACAGCATTTCTACCTACATCGGAAATGCAGCCGCCACAGCCGGGATTACATTCCGTGACCTGCGAGTCAACAGCCAAGTACCTTAGTCACTAGACCACCACGGTGGGTCCTCACGTGTCCTAAGAGTGATGTCAGTATCTTCTAATGGCTTTCACCCTCTTGGTTTGAGGCCCCTGCGCTTGGGTCTGAGGCCCCTGCGCTTGGGAGAAGAAGTTCCGATTTCTGCAGCGAGCTCCGGAGACCAGTCGGTTTAAGGTAGTTTTTCGTTACCTCAATAGCTTCCTGTAGCACAGCCTCTATTCCCCCCTCGCTTCCACTGGTACACCATGTGGTGATGTCGTCAGCAAAAGTATGATTAATGCCATTCACTTCGGAGAGTCTTTGAGGCAGACCGATCATGACGAGGTTAAGGAAAGTCGGGCATAGTACTGAGCCTTGTGGCGTCCCTGTGAAGCCAAGCCTTACCGGTTCCGAAACAAAATCGCCCATCGCAAGTATAGCCTCTCTGTCAGTCAGGAATGATTTTATGTAGTCGTGGAAGCGCTTGCCAAGCCCGTGGTTTGAGATCTGACTCAGCACAAACTGGTGCAGAACGTTGTAAAATGCTCTCTCCAAGTCCAGTTCAATATGGCTCTTATGCCACTTGTGTTCATATCAATAACTTGATATTTGATTAGCTTTAAGGCGTCTTGGGTTGAAAGGCCGGCCCTGAAGCCTATCATGTTGCGGAGATAAATTTGCGTTCATCCAGGTATCAAGTAACACTGTTCAGGATAGCATGTTCAGCCACTTTACCTACGCATGATGTCAGTGAGATAGAACGGAGGTTGTCGAGGCTGGGAGGTTTGCCCAGTTTGTGGGAGAGGATGGTGGTGGCCGTCTTCCACATCTCTGGGACACTGCGACTCTTCCACACCTTGTTGACAATATCCGTCAGGTACTGCAACTACCTGTCATCCAGGTTTCTCCAAGCCTTGTTGGTCATCTATCAGGAC